GTCAAAACATAATTATTTCTATGTCTTTTGCTCAATAGGTTGTCAACTCACTATTATACGATCATAGGTGTCATTCTCACACTTAAAACTCATTTACACCGGAAATAATAACACAATTACCTCCCAATTACCTCCCGTGTTTTCTATTCTCCACCATGGAGTAGCTATCTTCAAACGTTTGAATTTGAAGAGGAAAATGATATTTTTGCCAATTTCTCAACTGGCAATAGTGAATTATAGGATTATTCTTTAACAAGGTAGGACTGTTTAAAGATACCATCTATTTTAAGGCTTTATTTTAATACATTTTAAAAATATAACTTAAAAATATGAAATTGCAACTTTAAATCTGCATTTTGGTTAATGAAACACTATTTTCAGTGAGTGCAATACACGTCCGAATGTAGTTTATCAGTTCGCATCACTGAAGGTGTAAACTGACTTGTTAGTTTTCGCTGTATTTTGGGGGCCGTCTAGTCTGACGGTGACCAACTACGTGAAAAGAAACGAATAAATAGTTGTAACCTGTTTGCCTTTATAAAAGTACCTTACACAACCACCAGGGCTGGCACGTGTCATTTTACTAGTATGTTTCAAGGTTACCAATAATATTCACAGATAGTCCAAGATTACTTATATAGAAATGAGTTTGCGATGATATTAAAATGCTTCCGCGGTTGACGTTTTCTCCAAACAGCCCGTAGTGCTATTAGGTGAGAAGAAAATTGTAGAATTGCTTCTTTACAAAAGCAGTCAAAGTGCAAAAAAATTCCACTCGACAGCGGGTGTTTTTCCAGGCCACCTAGTTTTTCCAGGCCAGTAATTTTTATTTTCAATAAAGGGTGATAGACCTTGGAATTTCTATACGGGCTAGCTTAAGCATACTGATCAGGCGACCACTGTAGACTGGATTAATGAAGACGGGCATATACAGTGTGCTATGGGGGAAACTTTGTCCGGACTGTGGCGCAAAGGCGTATTCTTATATCAAATTCCAACCTCCATGGGTTCTTTTACGTGTTCACCAATGTGTACAAGGGACCTCGGTTTTCGTCCCACTCGAACTACTATACGTTATCCCGTCATACGTCTTACTTACTGAGCCACCGTGCCTCCCCGTAGAATTAGAACTAATGTTAAATGTAATTAACGGTAACAGCATTCTAGAGCCGAGCTATAGACATATGGAATGAGCGCATCAATTTGAAAACTTCCTTTATAGTCCTTTAGTGGCATTTAGCGATTGGAAAACATAACAAAACTAACACAGTTATATGGGACAACAATCACTGATTTATTATACACTAGCACGACGTTTCGATAAGTATCCTCTTATCGTTATCAAGCAAACCCGATAAATACTTTTCTGGGAAAGTATCTTTAAGAGAAAGAAAAGAGGGACAAAGGGTGAATTCTAACGTTAGAAGCACTAGCATCTTCAATAGAAGGCTTGATTTCGCTTTAACTACGTACATCTTATCCTAAAACCGCAGTCGTTGAAGCACGAGATGCTTTTCATCCTGGGCATGACTCCGTGTGCTTATTCTTGTATGATTTTCACAAATACTCTTAATGAAAGAATTACCAAAATAGGTGCTATATAACACTTGGCATAGTCCAGTAATTATTAATACTTTTAAACTTTTTGGGCCTACCCGGATTAATTAAGACGACCATACTCTTCATCGAATTTCAACCACCGAGGGTTCTTTTATGTGCATGTCAAGGTGTACGCCTACACACGGGACCTCTGTTAATCTTCCCATCTGAACGACTAGGCGTTGTTCCTTGCTAGATCCTTCATCCAACCCACCTCACTCAGGGAAATCAGACTATGGAATCGACAACGAAAGAATACACCCCCCCCCCCTTTCCCGCGCAGTGGCGTAGCTAGAATTTATGCTGCGGGGGGGGGGGGGGTAGATCTAAATATTAAGGCCACCTCCAGATTTCTTCAAGGTCACGAGATGTAAACAGGGCTAGCGCTAACCCTAGACCCATCCCTAACCCTTAGCCCACAATCGTAGACAACGATCACGTGCCCTAGCCCTGTTTACACCTCGTTCCCATATAGATATGCAACTAGCTCTCATCTTTCGCCCGTGTATCATTGAGTGCAACTATATGTATGACAATGACCCTAATTGATATTGACCCTAACTACTGACAAAACAAGCTCAAAAAACAACCAGAAAAAACTGATGTGAATAGATGAACAGCGGTAGGCATAGGCGTACGAGCCAGGGGGGCAGGGGGGCAGCTGCCCCCCTAACTTTCGGGCAAGCTGACTTTTCGGGCAGACGGGTAAAGTGAAAACAAAAATTTATTTCATCTACTTGGCTAAATAAAGTGCCCGAAATCTAATAAAACACTAAATTTACGGGCTGGAATAGCAGGAAAACGCGTTTGCGGCTGTCAAATATTGCAAAAATTTCTTGCGGGGTCCATACAAGGTCAGTTCCGCTTCTTCGCCTCTCGAAGAAAACCGGCGCCGCTGTCTGTAAACCCGAAATTTTTTCAGGCATTTCTAGTTTTGCTTCCCTTACTGTTATCGAGCCCTAATATAACACTAATTTTACTTTTCTTTTAATTGAATGCCACGAATTTGTACAGAGTTGACTATGGATTAAAAAATGTTGCCTGGAGTCACCCTACTTTGTGCGACATTTTTCGGGCATCGATTATTATTTGTGAATGCAGATGCAACAGTCTGATTGGATGGTTGGAATTCAGAGTGGGATTTCGGTTACAAAACCATTGGATACTTTTGGAGTTTACACGTGCTAGAATAGCAGAAAACGCATTTGCGGACGTTAAATTTTCAAAATTTTCTCCGGGAGGGTATACCCCCGAACCCAGGGACGATTGATTGGTTGTTTGGAATTCCGGTCGGCCAGGTAGGCTATATTGGACCAAATTGAAGTTGCTGTATTCACAGGCTGGAATAGCAGGAAAACGCGTTTGTGGCAGTTAAATTTTCAAAATTTTCTCCCAACGGTCCCGTCTTCGTGGACTGTAAACGATTGATTGGAATTCTAGTCAGCCACCTGAAGGGGGGGGGGGGCAAGGTAAGCTCCGCTCTCTTCGCCTCTCAAGGTAGACCGGCGCTCTCTGTAAACCCGAATTTTTTTTTCGGGCATACCGCGTTCTGCCCCCCTAGCTGTCATCGAGCCCGTACGCTTATGGCGGTAGATTAATGTTTGTGTTTGTAGTCTATTATAAACCTTCAGTATCGGACCATGAGTACAGTTATCGGTGTGGTGGCTTGGACGAACATAATCTATAGGCCTACATACAATCTGTTTCACAGAGAATTACGAGTCTTCTCTAATTTGCCTAGCGAATATTCACTGCTGATCAGTGTGGCCTACATGGCAATCTAAGGTTAGATCTATTTGATAAGGCCAACTTTAAGTTAGGTGACAGGCCACGCGATGCAAACAGGGCTAGCTATAGCGCTAATCCCAACTCTAACCCTGGACCTAGCCCTAATGCTTACCCTAACCTACTATTTAGCCAACAATCACGCGTCTTAACCTTATTTACATTTCAGCGACCTTGACGAAAATTGAGCTGGCCTTAACAAATAGATTTAGCCCTACAAGTCGATTGCCGAAGCGGGGTCTAGAAATTCATCTGCAATAAAGACATGTAGTGTAACAGCTGGGTTACATTCCAATGTTGATCAGTTTGGGTCTTTTTGTATATATAGAATATAGGTCTGAACAAACATTGGATGCCTTACTGAACTATCTAGTATCTAGTTAAACTGTGCCAGTCATATTTACTGTTGCCAAACAATCATTCATTACGCCATTTTAATCTGTTTACGTTATAATAGGCGGCTGTATTAAAGAAACATTTTAGATAGCACCTTCAATATATCCTTAGACCCTCAAATTTACCGAAAATTCAGAACGTATACTATCGTTAAATGTCTTTGTAATCACTACATAATTTGTACGACTCATAAGCAAAAATTAAATGCGTATTTTTTGTCCGCTCGCTTGGCAGACGTTTGGACACAATCTATATCAACGACTATGAACTTTAATCAGATCACATCAGATCGAAAATATTTTTTTAACAAACCGACTAAGATACCCAAAGTGCGAATGTCTCATTAAAATCAAGCATCGTTGGATTAAGACTCAAACGCTAGTTTGTCTGATCGAGATCCTGCTTACTGGGTATTCGAAATTTCCAGACTAATCGTTGATCACCTTCACTTTCAACCCGTAACGTTTTTAAACCAATGAAATGCTGCAAACGTGACACACCTCCGCAAATTAATTTATAGTCTATTTCTCACAAATGGACTAGGTAAATGTTTACTATTTCTGCACAGCTTTTGAATATATGACTAAATTCTTTTGACCCGTGATTATTTAATTTTGCAGCTTAATTATTATACACACGCATTGAAATATGATTATATATTACCCTTCCCACTGTCCGTCGTCGGTTCGTTGTCCACAATTTCATGTGAACACTACAGATAACATCCGATCTTTTAAAAATTCATGTTCTTTTAACTTTACAAAGCTATATCTGATGATATGAAATGAAATAAAATGAAATGGGGCTTAACGTCCTGCTCCGACTGGGCTAATGAAGACGGACATATGCCATACAGTGTGATATGAGGGAAATTTTGCCAGGATAGTGGCGCTACGGCCTATACTCTTATATCGAATTCTAACTGCCAAGGGACCTTTTACGTGCACGCCAAGGTTTTTCGTCCCATCCGAACGATTAGACATCTGTCCTTGTGAGGGCCTCCGTACTGCATCACTGACAAGGAGAAACCACGCCAGAAAATCTCGATAAACGTCTGATAATAACTTCTACGATTATTTCCCTGTTCACATTAGTGACACAGAGAAGCAATTTCCGACGGTTATTGTCCTATTTTGTCCTAGTTGTTTTGGGGTTTTTTCAACTGGCTATTCCTTCAATTACTCCTGAATTTGATCTGATACATGCAGTCCGTTTTTCAGGTATACAAGGAATCTTGTAGATGGAGGAAATGGTAAATTTAATTTAATGGTTTTATGTTGGGGTGAAGCTAATGGCAGCAGTATACACAGTCACGCTAATGCCCATTGCTTCATGAAAGTCTTAGATGGTTCCGTCCGTGAAGAGCTGTACGATTGGCCATCAGAAGATTCCACCGAAACAAGTATGAGTCCAAGACAGAAAAATACATACGAAAAAAATAGCTGTGCCTATATTAGCGGTAATGTAAAAATTTTTTCTTGATCTAAATTTGGGGGTATTTGTTGTGGCCTTTTTCTGCCTATCGTTCTCTATTTTGAAGGTCGAAATTATTATCCTCATATCGTCGTTTTTTGTTAATATCTTTAAGAGTTAGGCTCCTCGGAAAATATATCTGATGACTATTTCATGGATTATTAATCTTGATGGGTTGCATATGTCTTGTAAAATGCTACCATTACCCACAAAAAAATATATAACGTTTGTGGACTGCATGGATAGCTGCATATTCCCGAAGCAATGACCCGAGAAATCGCTCTCTGACCATTGCTGGATTACCTTCTGATACTTGAGCTTTTGAGGGGGCGTGTCTATTCTTCACGTTCAATCAAATCTATCCCAAGTACAGCACCATGACAGCCCTTCGTTTAAAGGACAATATTGGTGCCAGTCATTATCACATATGTGATAGAGCTGGTTAAACACATTCCAAATATAATTTTAATACAGAGAACATTGCTACGATAGCTGAGTAATACAGGTTTCCTGAATCGGAAGTGACGAACGCCAAAGGAAAACACGAATCATCTCTCTATATAACTGACTGATGTGATGAGTGATAACAGATACACGGCCGAATTTCTGCTCACTAATAATTCCTTCGAAGACCAAAAGTTGTTATATGGGACTGTAAGAGGATACCTGACAATTCAATAAAGTAATTGAATGTCATTAGATAAGAGAACACGAGAAAAATAGAAATAGTCCGTACATTCCATTGTTTATATTCATTCTATACCTTATAAAAACAAGGTAATGCACGGACTTTTTCTTTCGTGTTCACTTATCTAGTGGCAGTCAATTCTTTTTATGAATTGTCAGATATCCTCTCACAATCTCACACAACAACTTTTGGTCTTCGAAGGAATTATTCGCCCGTATATCACTCGCCACATCAGTCAGCTATATAGAGAGATGACTCGTTCTTTCCTTTGGCGTTCGTCACTTCCGATTCAGGAAACCTGTATTACTCAGCTATCGTAGCAATGATCTCTGTGTTAAAATTATATTTGGAATGTGTTTAACCAGCTCTATCACATATGTGATAATGACTGGCACCAATAGTGTCCTTTAATCTGGGGTCTTCCCTACGACTTTGGACAGTGATTTAGGGTATTGAAAACGGTGAAAGTATTATTCGTCTCCAAATAGTATTGTTTACATTGTATCCGTGTTGATAGCCTTGTTTGTCACGCGGTTAGTTTTTCTGCAATATTTTGCTATGCACTGGTTGATTGGGCATAATAAAATCGTGAGTCATGACGTAACGTTATGTAATCATATTTGGTCCAATTTTGAGCTCTGTTTAAAGCGTAATGATGTTGTTACGCAGTTAGCTATTGGTCGTTAATTTGGAACAGAAATGTGCTTCCTTTACAGTGGGATTAGCTCTAATCAAACGAAACACTGCGAGGACTATGGGATAGCTGATGTGGGCGTATGTTTCTCATTTTCTGACAACCTATCTTTTCTGTAATTTAAACTAGGATGTTTAGATTGTACCTTACTCCATTCAATCATGGTTTTAAAGATTGAGATTGTATCGAGACCTTGATAATATTTATCTTATCTTGGACCCCAGTTATGCCATTCTCTGTGCATGCATTGAGGGCATGTTACCCGCAGTACTTTTAGCGTGTGAAATTTAAATCAAGTAGGATTCTTTAAAGGAGGCAAGTCTCTGACTCAGTATTATCCACAGTCTTCGGCATTGAAAACACGACTTATTGGTCAGTTTTAATCAACATTGATGTTGTTATCTTACCGTGACGAGATGGGCTTTTGATATCCAATATTTAAGACAAAATGATAATTTTAAAATTGGCACACGAATCTCGTGACTGAATGCTTTCGAGCGCCATTTGTAATGAAGCGACTCGATGAACGAGACTAAACATCCCACAAAAGAATACTAATCGATGTAGACTGGAACAACCAGACGCCAAAGACTGCCATTCAATTTGGACTCTTCGCGTATTTCGCAGAACATAACTGATTAGAAATTACAGTAAACACAGAAACGACTGAATGTAAATGAGTTTATATACACTCATATTACATTATAATATGTGTTGCGATCCATTTGTGCCCATTTTAGGTTCCAAAGATTTAGCTCCTTTAAATCAGCATAAGTAAGAAATATAATAAATTTGAATAATTTTATAATTCAGAATATGATTGCCAAAAAACGAATCCTTTCACAATGTCTTATGAATTAAAAAGGAAATTCTTCAGTTGTGTGTTGTATAATTCTAAAAACAATTTCGAGCAACTTATCTGTCTTGAGTAGTTTTATTGTATACAATTGTGATGAAATGTAATGAAATGGGGTTTAACGTCCTACTGTTCTGCTCCGAACTGGGCTAATGAGGACGAGCATACGCCATACAGTGTGCTATGAGGGAAATTTTGCCTGGACAGTGTCATTACGGCCTACTCTTATATCGAATTCCAACTGCCAAGTGAACGTTTACGTGCACGCCAATGTGTACACGGGACCTCGTTTGTTTGCCCCATCCGAACGACTAGACAGCTGTCCTTGTCATTCCCTCCGTCCTGCATCACTGACAAGGGGGAACCACGCCGGAAAATCTGGATGAACTTTCTCGGCCAATGCAGGGATCGAACACCCGAAATCCAGGCTAGCGAGCCAGCCTCTTACCCACTTAGCCACCGTGCCCCCCCCCCCCCATAAAACTGTTGTGTCTGCAGCAAAAGAAAGAATAGAAAAAAATGAATACAATTGATTTTAATCCAGTTTGTTTATTACTATTTCCAGATGAAATTGGCCTCCATCGTGTAGAAAATCCAAGCCATTCCGACAAGGCTGTCACTCTTCACCTTTATTCACCACCATTCGATGAGTGCGAGAGTTTTGATCAGCGAACGGGTCACAAAAATACAGTTAAAGTTACATTTTGGAGCAAGTTCGGAAAGAGGACACCTTATGTGAGTATGCTTTAACCGTAACACCTTATCAGCTACATGACATTATTAATAATTCTACGCGAAGGTGATTAAGAGTAAGACAAAAATTCACCTTCTGTTTTGCCTCAGACGAATCAGATACTGAAAATTCTGTTAAAGATGTATTAGGTAAAAACTAAATATTCCCATTACTAGTCTTTTTTTGGCTTCAAATGTTATATAAATTATTAAGTAGACATGTATTTACATTCATAACAAAACACAACACAAGGTATATATTGATATAACTACTTCTCTATTATTAACAAGGTATATATGGATATAACTACTTCTCTATTCATTAACTTGAAAACGTGACCTGCATGTGTTACGAAACGTCGTTATTAAATAATAGAGAAGTAGTTATATTCATATATACCTTGTGTTGTGTTTTGTTATGAATAGTTAACCGTGCTTCTAGATGTCATTTAAAGAATAGAATAGTATTCACATCACAAGCCCATAATAAACTCTCAATGTAGATCATCCGATGGCTGAGATATTACATGGATTACATGTAGATCATCCGCGTCTTCTAATCGGCTAACGTTAAATTAGACAATCGGGACTAAATTATTGTAGCTTTTGATCAACGAAACTACTTAAGCTAAATCTTGTCAAAACTTCAAACATTCATAACTTCGCTCAGAATAAAGTCATACTATTGAGATTTTCATTGTCTATTTTTTAAACTATAATCTAAATCTCACATAATGCATCTTTAATGATGGGAGAAGAGGTAATTCTTTTTCTTTCTGGTTACGGAGTCAGATGCCAAAGGGTTTTTTTTTCAGTCCAACAATATTTACGATTTTTAGGGTGTAAATCTAAGTTCACAACCAAAAACAATGTTATTGTAACGTTATTTATTTTTTTATTATGTCCTCTATCCTTTCAAACTATATAATATCATTAAATTTATTATTTTAATCACGTATTAAATATTGAAGGCAAATTAAACTCATGCGGCTGATTATTTACAAAACTAATATAACTTTCGGGGATAGGTCTGTTAAAAGATATACATTGTACACGTGTACAGATTTATAATTGAAACTTTGATGAAATTGAATATCCTGCTGAGTAAAACAATCCTATAAAGTTGTTTTTTTTTAATTCTAATGTCCCTCGGTCGGAGTGTTTTTAAACTGTGTTTGTGAGTTTATATTATGAAATGCATATAAGAATACAAGGCAAAGAATTAAAAGAAGATTTTTTTCATAATGGGTACGCCCTATAAGTGAAATAAAAAATTTGCCAAACCCATATCTTAATTGTCAGTAATAAAACGTAAAATCTGAAAGTAACTTGTAAACATTATCTTAGATTAACTTCTATATTTTTTAAACCTGATCAGTTCAATGTGACAATCGACAATCTTCCCGTTACCACCACCCCCCCCCCCCCCCCGCCCCAAATACGCAATTAGTGACAAAGCATGTAATACACATGTGCCAAAGTTTTGTGCGATTCAGATTTAACCTAAAGCGATAATTTCATATTTTTAAGTTATATTTTTAAAATGTATTTTAAAAAATAGATGGTATCTATAAACAGTCCTACCTTGTTAAAGAATAATCCTATTAATCCTATAATTCACTATTGCCAGTTGAGAAATTGGCAAAAATATCATTTTCAACTTTAAATTCAAACGTTTGAAGATGGCTATTCCATGGGGGCAATAGAAAAACAAGGGAGGTAATTGTGTTATTATTTCCGGGGTCAATGATTTTTAAGTGTGTGAATGATACCTATGATCGTATAATGGTGAGTTAACAACCTATTGCACAAAAGACATAGAAAGAATTATGTTTTGACTTTCTTAGAAAATATGAAATTCTCGCTTTAAAATATATTTTGGGTTATTACCCCAGTTTTTTTATGGAACATTTCCTGTTTTCGGACATGAAAACCATGCGAACGCTATATATGTTCTACAATTTTTAACAGATTTTGTTTGTCATGGGAGGACGAACCCTGCCAGTATTCAGTGTTCCGCAACCTTCCATACCGGACTCCCCCTCACCCAATCCCATCATATCCTTTGCCGAATTGAACATAAACGCGATAGTGGCTAAAGTGTTTCGCGTCCATCTCTTGCAAATGCAAAATATGGGCGTATCTTGCATGTCAACGTCTTGTTCGCGTGTTTCCCTCTTGATAGAGAAGCAGAACTGACTGGCAGGCAAGGAATAGCGTCTGTATGGTCGTCCGGATGATACGAAAGCCAAAGTGCCGTGTACACGTTCTCGTGTACGTAAAAGAACCATTGCCAGTTAAATTCGACAAAGAGTGGGGGGAAAGATTACTGTCCATGCAAAATTTCCCTCATCATAGCACATCGTACATCGGTGTTGCCCGTCTTTATGAGCTCGGTTGGTGCAGAAAAGTAGGACGTGTTAAAACCCATTTCACTTCATAATAACGTCCTAATATTATTTTTACGTATATTTTCAGGGAGTATGCGCTACAACAAAGGAAGCAAGGAAAAATGCCGAAAATAATTAAGGATGAAGAATGATGGCTGATGACTGCCATTTAGGATTGTGACAGTGTGCGTTTACTAAAATGCATTTAATAATACATGTAATAGTATTTTGATTAGAAGTGATACATTTAATGAATACTTCCGCATAATATACATCATTGTATTTTATGTTTAATATTAATGCAAATAATTTAATACGCTAATCTCTTGGTTCTTGGTGTATATATTATAGGTCCGTTTCGACAACGTCGACCACAGTATAAAAAAGCTATAATAATTAATTTTTAGATTTCTGGGCTGGATCCTCATTAGTTTATAGGACGTTGTTCCGCAAAGAACACTTTGCTATCTCAAGGCCTGCACACATACCAAGTGTATCGATCTCCGTAAAGTCCTAAACTAACTCCGTTAAAGGGTATATCTGAAAATGGATTTATTATTCCCTACTGTTTCATCCTGATATGACATAATATTATTCTTAGATTTGTATAGGGCCCCCTACCTTGCCAAATTACCATTATCGCAGATCCATAGTGCGCGATAGAACCGACAATTTCACTTGGATCTATGGAATAGTGGTTATATAGGATTGTGTTACCTGGGCTATGCGATGGATTAGCTGTCGTGATGCACACCCAGGCGAAAACATGTCAGGACAAACAGTTTAGTTTGAAGACTTTGTCGTTATACCTAGGGCAGACAAGCGTATTTTTTCGCCCGATCGCGCCGATTTTTAAAATCGCTCTAAACAAATCGCCCGTCGTGTGCTCGTTCATGGCGACGGCAATACAGTCAGCGAACCATTCGGTCGACCGATCGCCCGTATCTAGTATGTTAGATATTTTCGGTCGAATATTTTACGCCGGCGAATCGATCGCTGGCATATCCGCTCGTCTGCCCGTGTCCAGCGTATATTGTCGACATCATTGATATGATCTCAAAATGGTTGACTCCAGAGTCTGACGAAAGAAGGAGAATTGATGATTCTTTGGTCGGAAAGGCCTTGCCTGTTTAACGTCACGATTCCAGAGTTTTAGAAGCAAATAAATAGCAGCTACCACAGCAATCTCACGTGATCGACGTAATTTACTCGCAGAGAGTGGCGTACGCCCTCGAGACGATCTCTGCGTGTGCCCGTTCGTGATCGGCCGTAAAAAATCGCTGGCGAATTTTAATCGTCGCGATGAAGCGAAAAAATACGCTCGTATGCCCATAGCTTTTTAATGATTATTGGTCAACTATGAATTGATGCTCGGAGTGTGCAAGCCTTTAGGCTACATAAGGGAGGCCTTGATCGTGAAATATTCAGTATTGCCCTTCGCATTTTAAGTGCCTTTATGTTTCTTTTGAAATATTTTTATTATGTAATATTTTATGTTCATGTGAAATATATTTTTAAAATTATACAAGACTAAACCTTATCTTAGTAGTCCCATAATTGTTCTTGTCGAGCGGCCAACTTACCTCAATTTATTTAATATAGCTTTAATTATTGCTCAATGATTGTTTGTTGAATATATTCAATAATTAGATTTCAAAAATCGTTTGTTCAATCCGGTTGACCCGGCAACATTTTTTTAATTGCTCAAATTTTTGTTTCAATTTCTATTTGCTTGCTTGATTAAACAGCATGTGTATTATGCAATTAGTTATCAAAATATCAACGCTATTTTATTCTGATTTTTTAATGTAACATAAACTGTGTGGTAACTTATGACTTTCATTGTAGGCAAAGGATACACAATACCTTTGGATGAGTCTTGCACTCAGAATTCTGTAACATTACGTCCAAATTAAGATGTTGATAGTTTACAATCCTTAAAGATGCATTATGTAAGATTTAGATTTATAAAAAGCTGGTCGTTCTTGCTATAATAGTTCAAAAATAAATAATGCAAAATCATTCAAATTATAATACTTTATTCTGAGCGAAGTTATCACCGTTTGAAGTTTTACAAGATGTGAGATATATAGATTGTTTTATCGTAGTTGTTATTTGAGACTTAGCTTCGATTCGCCATTTTTAAATTAATACATTGAATGGCGACCGTGATTTTTCCCTTTAAATCTCCGCCATCCGATGTTCTAGAGAGTTAATTATATATGAGCTTGTCATGTGAATAAATGTCTAAATAATAGTTCATATAACTTCTGAAGTAAAAATAAAGACCTACTACAGGCAGATCTAGCTCTTACATAATGCATCTTTAATATATGAGTTTACAACTAAGTGGAGCTTTTAATACTTTGTACTTATGACAGTAAATTTCATGTGTAATCTTTACAGAAACACCGTTTCATCAACATTTACGACGTCTATTATTGTCAGGCTTAATGCCAGTATATATCCATATATTTTTAAAAATTGTAATAAAATGTTTGAGAGGTAATTATTTTTTTTAAACATTAATAGTTGATTTTGTATTAAATGTGTTTTTTTGTTTTTTTTTTTTATTTCTGTTTTCTGTGTGTTATATTTTAGTACCAAATGCCCGTAACCAATTTTAAGCGTTATCATCATATATGATAACGCTTAAAATTGGTTACTCTAAAATTATGCTCTAAAAAAATACACATTTGACAGGGATAAGTGTTTTTATAAAACATTTTTACGTGAATTAAAATGATAGCAAAGTATTAAAACCGGTTATTATTTATTATTAATGTAAAATTAACTTTTTTTTCCCAATAAAATCTCATCATTGCATTTGTAGCTTTATTGTGTTCACCCAAATTTACATCGTTTGTTTAAGTGGCCATTAAGAACCACGGGTATATATGGAAAATCACGTTCACAATATTTTCAGTCGATATTATGACAATTTTTACCTTGAAAAATAGCTTACGATTCATTAACACTAATAAAAAAATCAACAAATAGAAACATACGCTAGAAAAATGTTATCGTCCACCAAACCACTGATGAATTACTCGATTTCAAAATCAATAGTATATGATATACTATGATATAATATACTCTATTGTCATTTGAATTTAATGTGGAATAATTGACACTATTATCGGTGATTTTACAATGCAATGAACATATTTCACATATTTGAAAATTAATATTTATAAAAAAAAAGTTTGTTTATCAGTGAACAGCTGGTCGAATTATACTGGTAAATTTCCCCCGCGTCGACCTATATCATTAATAGGTGTGTTTTGAAGATTCCATATGTTTCATCCACATTAAATCATATAAATAATATAAAACACGTGATCCCAAAATAGACTTATGTTTTACCCACTATACTGAATGATATGTGATTAAGCTGGTAAAAATTATTAACCTTTGTATGATTTTGTATTCAATTACATTCCAACGTTCTGGTATATTTTAAACTCTGTTTATATTTAACCATTGCGCCGGTTAATCATGATTGTTTGATATTGAATTGTGGTGTGGAGTGTAAACCTTAAAATTTATGAGGCATTTTTCATTCACGTTTGTATACAGAAAAATTAGATTTGCTTTTGAAACCTTATTGCCAAAGGTAACAGGTCATTCACATATAAATATTTAGGAGTATGTGGGAAAATAAGTGTAATAAAACATTCAAAGAGACATGTTTTGGTGAAAATTACAAATATCAAAGGCATGCTTTTGCCAGGCTTACAGGCTTACGCTATACCCTTAGATCGGGTAAAAACTGGTTGTATCTGATATTATGAGATTGAACAACCTGGAAGACATGGATGCACCCAAGACCAGTTATTGGCAGTTTCACAAAGGATTTAGTAAGTCGTGCATGTTCTGCTTTTGCCGCTGGTAGCAGACAATTTTGCTCATAGTCATGTTTTGATATGAATTGAATTGGCTAGACTATATATAGTTTAAAGAAGCTAAATCGCTAATATTTGGGTTTTTTTTATAGAAATGGACACAAATGATTCGCAATGCGTATAATAATGTAATATGAATGTATATAAATTGAATTACAATCAATCGTTTTTATACTGTTATGTTCGGCAAAATATGCCAGAAGTTTTAATTGAATGGCAATCTCTAGCGTATTCCAGTCTACACTGATAGTATTTATTGCGCATGCTCTCCAGATAAGAATATAGCGTCACTGTTTGACATGACATCACAGATTACTCTGTGATGACATGGAATATGTCTAGCCTTGTTCTTCGAGTCCCCTGTTACAAATGGCGCTGAAACACTGTATGAACAAGATTCTTTTTTATTTACCAATTGTAAAATGTTTTTGTCTTAAATATTAGATATCAGAAACCCATCTTTTCCCGGTAACATCACAACATCAATGTTGATTTAAATTGACAAATAATTCTTGTTTTCAAAATCGAAGACTTTGGATGATATTGAGTTAGAGATTTAGCTACGTTAAATGGACCGTGACTTGTAATTTTCTCCCCATTAACTTCTATAAATCATGACATTTCTTGACCTGTACCGCCTAACATGTTGCATGACCTGATAATAAATATTGAAAGGGTCTGAACATCTTGACGGGCTAAGTTTATTTGTTATGGCCAGCTCAATTTTCGTCAAGGTAGCTGAGATGTAGCCTAAATAAAGTTAGGGCACATGATTGTTGGGGAGATTGTAGGTTAGGGTAAGCATTAGGGCTAGGTCCAGGGTTAGGGTTGGGATTAGCGCTAGCGCTGTTTACATCTCGAGACCTTTGACCAAACTTGAAGTTGGCCTTGTCAAATAGATCTAACCCGACGGGGGTCGTTTATATTTGACGCCATGCACCTTTTCTCGCCCTCGGTCCACCCACCACTGGCGCACTTACAACCATGACTAAGCATTTTTTTTATACGCCCACATTTTCATATGGACGTATATTGTCGTCGCCTCTGTCCGTCCAGACGTCGACGTCCGTCCACAATTGTTTGTGGACACTCTACAGGTCACAATTTTTATCCGATTTCAACGAAACTTGAAATAGGTTTATCTCCCTAAGATCTCGGTTCCTTTCGATTTTGGCATGTATCGGACCGTAACTTCATGGGTTATGGCCCCTGATTGTACGGAAAATCGCGTTTTTAGCTTGTGGACATTATCGAGGTCACAATTTTTATACGCCCACATTTTCATGTGGACGTATATTGTCGTCGCCCCTGTCCATCCGTCCACAATTGTTTGTGGACACTATATACAGGTCACAATTGTTATCCGATTTCAACGAAACTTGAAATATAGGTTTATCTCCCTAAGATCTCGACAAATCGGCCCCGTTTGTCGCGACGCAGGAGCGCCATCACGTAGTGATCTCTAAAACTATTATGGTCACTTCCGCCTTCATTTCTATCGGGTTTGGAGCTCAAAGTACGGCAATAAACTCGCTCTAACTTGACTGAATGAAAAATCTAACATACCTTTCGACTTTGTGGAATAACAATCTATAATTTTACTGATTTTTTTTTTTGAAAATCTTATCGGATTCCTGAGAACAGATGTAGGCCTATTTTCTTCATGATCACCATCAAAACATTATGTCGTAAATTTTATGTTAATTAGATTGCCATTACTTAGATTTTCCTTTTTCTCACTGTTTTATTGTCGATTTGGGATGATACGAATATTTAGTATATATTAAAGACGTCTCTATTCATTTGACGTTTAAACCTATATAATGTACATGAATTTTAGGTACTATTTTTTTTGCGGATGAATACAGCTGTTCTGTATTGTATTCTGTTGTAGACTGTGAAAATTTTGGATCCATGTGTCGACGCTTTAAATCACATGGATCCATTAAACCTTCTGACTGTTTAATTCCATTTTTTTCATTGAAGATTCTTATATTACAAATCTTTCCTTATACTAGAAACGTAATCACTGGGTTCCTTTCGATATTGACATGTGAATTAAGACTAGTAATTATTTCCCGTTATTTCATGATGACGAATGTAGTGCGAGTTATAAATAGACAATTTTTCCCTTAATTTTTTTCTCCCCTCTTCCTGCATTTTTGGGTTGACTTTTTGGTCTAGAATTGGAGAAAAGGGATCAAATTTGCAATTTCATAGCAGTTTTGGGTAATACTGATGGTATTACAGCGGAGGGATAGGGGGTGTAAAGTGTCTTTCTGCAGAGCAGTCATTGTGTCGGAAGTGAGATTTTCACCCCAGTCAACTTCAAATCCGTGTAGCAAAAAATCTAAATGGTCAACCCCCTACAAAATTATGATGAGGAGATTGCCAAATGTTGTCCCCATTGTGCCTATAAAGATTGGAACCAACGGAATGTTGAGAAAAAAGCTACAGCCTGTGATGTTACAGCCATTTAACATTGAAGTCAATGGGCAAATAATTGCTAGTCTGAGTCCATGTATTGGACTGTAACTTCGTGGATTATGGCCCCTGATTGTACATAAATCGCGTTTTTAGCTTGTGGACCCTATAGAGGTCACAATTATTATCCGATTTATAAAAACGTTCAAATGTATCACCGTTACACCATAATCTTGGCTGAGTTCGAATTTCGTGAAAATCGGACAAAATGGCCGCCCGTCGTACGCAAATAATGTTTTACATCTGGTATATCAAAGTTGTGGACCCTCTAGAGGTCACAATTTTGATCCGATTTTGATGAAACGTGAAATACATGTTTATAACCCAAAGATCTTGGTTCCTTTCGATATTTGCGCATATCGGATTGTAACTTCCTGAATTATGGCCCTTGAATGTACGAAAAATCACGTTTTTAGCTTGTGTTCCCTCTAGAGGTCACAATTATTATCCGATTTAAAAAAAAAAAACGTGTGAATATAAATATTATCACCGTTACACCGTAATGCTGGTTGAGTTCGAAGTTCGTGAAAATCGGACCAAAACTGACGGACAAAATGTCCGCCCCTCGTACGCTAATAATGTAAAAATATATTACATCAAGGCTGTGGACTCTCTAGAGGTCACAATACACCCGATTTTGATGAAACTTGAAATGCATGTTTATAACCCAATGATCTTGGTTCCTTTCGATATTCGCGCATATCGGATCGTAACTTCCTGAATTATGGCCCCTGATTGTACGAAAAATCGCGTTTTTAGCTTGTGGTTCCCCAAGAGGTCACAGGTATTATCTGATTTAAAAAGACGTTCGAATATGTCACCGTTAAACCGTATTTTTGATTGAGTTCGAATTTCATGATAATCGGACCGAAACTGTCAGACAAAATGGCTGCCCCTCTACGCAAATAGTGTAAACATCTGGTTAATCAAGGTTGTGGACCCTCTAGAGCTCACACTTTTGATCAGATTTTAATGAAACTTGAAATGCATGTTTATAACCCAAAGATCTTGGTTCCTGAATTATGGCCCTTAATGTTACGAAAAATCGCTTTTTGTTTAGCTTGTTCTCTATCCAGCTCTTGAAAAATGTGGGCGTATCCTGCCTGGCAGCCCCTGGTTTCAGATTCTTTTTTCAATCACTGATTGTAAGCGACATGTCGTGCCGAAGTGCGATGTAAGCCCGGGATAGTTGGAATTCAAGTTGAATTCTAACTAAGGGAGGTGACTCGTATAAGCTTGACTTGTTAAACTTCGGACATATTCACCATAAGAGAACATAAAAATGTAATTTCGATTATCATAATATTAAAATAATGTAGCTTAAATTGTACACATTGCCATATCACAATATATTAAATATTATACATTTACAGCAATATTATATCGCGTGATAATATTTGGTAGTGTCCTTTCTATTGGTCTCTCGCCAAGTTATTGTGAACCGAAAATTGTGAGATCAATTTTAAATCCAGTTCTGTTCAAAATATTGTTTATATAAAGAATCTCCTACCAGTCTTTTTGATATCAAAAAATATCAACACAAGTTGATAAAGTAACAAAAAACGAGTAGGAGATTTTATTTATCACCCAATCCCTTCTTACATGCACATATAGATAAATATAATTCTTTGCTGTAGATTTCACTTTTACTGAACATAACGGCGTAGTGATACATCATTTTTTGACAGCAATTCAACCATTGCAAAGTCCTTTATATTGACCCAGTGTTTCCATCAAGGTCAATTGAATAACAATAGTTCATTTTTAATAAAAAAAAAGTTACTTTTAATAAGAAATGAACTGTTCTTTGAAAAAAAAAAGTAGTTCCTTTTCAACTGTCCAATCAAATTCATGTAAAGATTAGATTATGAAATATGAAATATGAAATAGATTATGAAATATATTGCACAAGCGATATCTACTGTAGAATGTATTATTGGGTGATAAAATAGTTTAGATATGCACGATGTCCATTAATAAAATTGACACGTTTCTAGTTACTTGAGTTGAAGTAGAACTTTAATTTTTCTAAGCACAAATAGTGTGTTTAAATTAGTCATGTGACAAATACACTTTTAAATACAGACTCCCTCATGAATGGGTATACCCGGTTCTACCTATAGCATACATGTTCCTGAAGTGGCGACCACGAGGTTTACACAATATCTAGCTGATCAAAACTTCTATATACATAAAGATATCATACCCATATAAAATCATCTCCCTTTGTTAGTCTCTTTAAAAGTGAATTGAAACAAGTTGACAAAGATGCGCCATCAACTTAAATTCCGGAAAAAGAAAAATTCAGATTTTTGATTGTCGACTTCGCCTTTCCTGTAATGACTTAAATGGTCATAAGTTCTTATGGCACGTTATGGCACTTGCATCTCAGACAGCCCTTTATGCGCTTGCGGTTATGATTTTGATGATGCCAATCATTACCGTTTAACCTGTACGTCCGATGCACTCGGCAAACCTCACCAGATTCCAGTAGCGGAAACATTCATTTTTTTTTTTTATCTTAGCCCAAAACCTAATTTCAATCCAGTCACTATATTAAAAGGCAATGACGATATTATTATTTCAAGTATGATCTTTCAACAAGTCCATCATGGGTTTCTAGACATCCCCCCCCCCCCGAAAAATAAATTGCCGACCTTTTAAAATACCTAGGCCTACTGTTTTTAATAGACAGCAGCCAGGGATCATCATGTGGAGTATTGATTTGGAGACGTATCTGCCATATATTTCTCAGGCGAAGGACGCCCGGCCCCCTTAACCCCAAGAGAGAATTTTAGAAGAGAGCCCCATTCCCCCGCAAGGGTGTCATCTTGCCATTGCATAGGGGCCGGCAGCTATAAGTTGCCTCAGGGCCCGGCGCGCCTAATGATCCGTCACTGGAGGACCCCCTTCGTCCGGGTGGAGAGATCCTAGCTCCCTCCCCTAGCCCTAGCCGCAGATCTTATTAAATTTTAAGGGGGGAACGGAGGTGGCGGGCGGAGCCCGACACACGGCTCGCGCCGCAGGCGCGAACCTTCTGCGGGGGGGGGGGGGGTGACCTCCCCCAGAAAATTTGAAAGCAGGATGCCTGAAAACGCCATTTGAGACCATTTCTGAGCATTCTGCAGAGATGAACGTACCGAGAATAATTGGGCATTGTACATCGGCATGTTCGGAAATATAGGCTGCATTTCCCGGGCTGAAAATAAGACTTTTGAAATCTTATCGATGCATTTTTCGGGGGGGGGGGGCGAGGCATATGAAATCCCCCCCCCCCCCCGTGAAAATCCAGGGGGGGGGACGCGTCCCCCCATCCCCCCGGGATCTGAGGCCATGGCTACAGGCCTGGCCTGTATGCTTAAATAGAAGCAACTAACAACTATTTAAATTTAATTACGACCTACATCTAAAGCGTATAACTGTGTTAAGACGGGTCACGTGTGTGTATATTTTGATTAATTTCTGTTTCTTTCCGAGCAGAAATCAATAACGTTTACTCATACGCTTCGACCCACGCACGCGCGCTTATCATTGACGCAGACATGGCCTTTTCATCAACAAAATAATTTCTTGGCCAAAAATTCATTTATCAGTAGAAATCAAACAAAAACTCTTTCTTTTATAAATATCGATTTATTCAAACTTTAAACAAACATCAAAATATCGATTAAATACACTGAAAGAATCAGACAAAATGTAACTCAACTAATTTTCTGTGACCTTGACGTTGATTCATCGATTAGGTCATGCGGCCGTGTACAGGAACGGTTCCATGTAAATTATGTTAATGAGTCAACATGGCCGACTGTCGATGATTACGCATAGCTGTGGATGAGTTTACTCGTAGACAGAATTGTGTGATTAGACGTCAACCGGTTTGGTTAGATATTTGAAGGTACGTGTCTAAAATTGAACTGTTTTTAAACTCTAAAAAATGTAGCCTGTAAGAAACTTGGCCGATATGTCTAGGGGAAATTTAATTGTGTATTATTCTCCATCACACATGATTCGCTATTTTCAGAGAAGCTATGGGGTCGGTTAGTACCACTAAAGACAGGGAAATTTGCATCCGAGAAGTTTGGAAATATATTGTTATGGGGACATTCTTAAAGACATGATTGCGATGTTCAGTATGTGTCTAATAGTTACGTAAACAGCTACACTGTCTACCATATTTATTTTTGGCAATATTTTTGTGTTAGAAATTAGGGGCGCCGGAAATTAGTTTTACCCACCCCGCTCGATTTCGTAGTTTTGTAATCATATTTGCAGTGGATTTTAAGAGGAAAAAAAATAACAATGAAAACATAATGTACACATAGTAGCAGGAAATATTGGGCGATTGTTTCATATTATAGTACATAATAGGTAATATACGATATAAACTGTATGGTATCCAAGTATAACTTATTATTACATTATATATTTTATATGATCTTTAGTATTAAATCATAAATAACCAAAAATAAAGAAAAACAAATATTTTTTTTCTCTTTATTATCTACCATGTAATTAGTTTCTCATGAATCATGTAGATTTGTTTTAAAATTTACTTTCACCCATAAAGATTGGGACTATCAATCACAGCCTCTGTCTAACCTACACAACTACCTCTACTAACCATGATTTATTTGGAAGGAAACCCTGTCTTCACACAGAGATTTTACCCAGGATTGTAAATCAGATTACGAAATAGGGCCTAGAATGATAATGATTTAGAGTTTGGAAAGAAAGCGAGCTGTTTCGTAACCTGGCTGTTTCATACTTAGTTCATTCGTACCTCACATGAGCCATTTTGTACCTTGGTTAATTTCAAGAGAACTTTTACATGCACTTCTCCTTTATTTCAACTTCTTTCAATTTATTTCAACATACAGGAAAGGTATGATTCAATTTGTGGCACAAATTGACGTACGAATGAACTAAGTACGAAACAGACATGTTACAAAACAGCCTGCACCCTTTGGAAAAAAATGTTAGAAATATGAATTTTGATGTAAAACGTATTTTCACAAATATATGATTTGAATTTAAGAAAAATATCTAGACTGTTTCAGTTTAAAAATATAGCCTGTTGGACATTTTGATTCAGGCCTGACACATTAAATAGACACTCCTTTCTCTTTATGTACATATATAATAGCTCTATGTCCTTTAATTTAGAATGACTCCACCTTTTACTAAATTTACACATATGTGTGCTTATATTTGTATTATTAATTTCATAAATGTCATTCTTTATCTACAGAGTTTTTATCATAGAATTAAGATAAATGATAAAAATCCTTATCCTGAGATTGCTGCTGATACGGTAGAATTTTGATATTAAATATAACTTTTATTGAAAAGAAATATTTTGAAAAACATTTATTTGACACTGAACATGTAAGCTAAGTGTAGGCCTATACACATTTTGATTTTGAAAGTTTCACATGTAGACTGAATATTAAAATCAAACGTCAAATACTGAACTAATATTGATAAATTTACGGATTTCTCAATATGTTAATGTCAAATCGTCTGGAGTGACTTTGTGTTATTGATATTCTCTTGATATTTTGCCAAGTAATCCTAAATATGTCTAATATTTATGAATACAATCATAAAGGAAGATAGTGATGAAATTATAGGTCCCCCCATATTTAAAAATATTTTTATTTTGATGGAGTTTTAGTTATTGAATAAAAAGCAATTGTATGCCTAGTGGATTTTATCAAGGTACATTTTTTTTTGACAGAAGTGGGATCAAGTCAGGTTACTGATGCGACTTGAGTTCCCATCTCTGGTTTTGTGCTGATTTCTTTGTTTGATTCTGTAAACTCAGCTTACACGCCAATTCTAAGGGATTTTGAAATTTAAGTGAACTAAACTGGTTCAATAGTCGCCGAGCAAAATGCATGCAGAACACAAGTTTAAAAAATTGCAAAGCTTTATGGCCCTATATGGTCTTTTGATCCTTTTGCTGTTTTCACTCACACGCAGAGAGCAAGTTTTCATAGTCTATGGTCTTCGTTATTCTTTTGTTAATTTCTGTCTTCTGCTTTGGTCAGGGAGACAACTATTTATCCTGTTATAATGTTGGAGACTTTGTAATGGTTTAATTATTGACATCTCCATAAAAAAGACCAAACTCATCTTTGAAAGTTGACATCACTTCAATCTGGAAGTGGATATTAAAGTAACATTGCAATTGTCTTTTGTCGGAAAATATCCAATTTCTCACAGCTTAATACATGTTAAACATGTACTCAGGTTGATTATTTAAAATTTGAAATTAGAATAAAAACGGAAACGATTGAATGTAAATCAGTTTATATACATTCATATTACATTATTATACATGTATGTGTTGCGACCCATTTGTGTCAATTTCTAGGTCCCAAATATTAGTGATTTAGCTCTCCTTTAAGGTAGTATGAACAAAACATAATCATTTTAACTTTTAAGACAGGATACACATACATAGTGATAATGATCCTCTTTTAAGGTAAAAATATCTGATGATTCACTGAGATAAAATGTACATTAGACTGTTTATCTGGGTAGAAATAACACTTTATATTATAAGTAGTAGACTATTATACCAATTGTGTGAAATAATGACAGCATGTTCTTGAAATTGATTACTCCTTTGATAAAATAGGCCTACACTGATATATATTTCTAGTGAGTATAGGGTTATATTTTTAAAGATACATAGATACACTGTCTAAATACTTTAAATCACATCATATCTATATTTAGATACTCCTGTATGACTTTTAAATTCATAGTTTAAATATGCACAGATTGAACTCAAATCACTTCCGATAAACAAAATCTTAGAAGACCCCCACAGGGCACTATTCTTTCATTGATAATAAAATTGTTAATACAGATGCATTTGCCTCTTCAAAAATTGTTAAAGCTACATATAGGTAATGATGGGGGTCATGCGCTAGATAGCATATAGCCTACATACGCTTTCTAGCTACATGTAGATCTCAAGGAATCTCATATATTTGTTACTAAATCATATCAAGATATTTTTTTTCCAGTTTCATGGATGTTTTAAGAGCTATGTATATTAATATTATATGTTATTAATATCAATAAAATGTTACAGTGAAACTCAGTATGATCATGTGCAATACAAATGAACATTTTCCGCTTTTCAATGTATTGATTGAAGATTAACAATATTCATATGTTAAATTGCTCAAGGCATGGATGTGTAAAATCATGTGATCTAATTAATCTTGCATTTATTAAAACCATCAAAACCAGAACACCAATTAACATATTTGTGAAGCATGTTTTCTATTAGATGTGTTTGTTTTTCAGGAATGAAAGTTGTGATACTGTAATCGGTATCAATGCAGCGAGTGTGCTTTTCAACATGTCTGCTGACGTTATAACGATGCAGTGGAAATGGATTCTAACGAAAATATTACGGAACCTACGACCAGATCCTTTAATACGACACGTCAGGTGAGTTATATAGAAATATTCCATATGATTTTGATATGGCTCTAGGACAATTAATTCCAGGGCAATTCATCCCCAGACAATTGTCCCCTAGGGCTATTCGTCCCCATGGAAAATTTGTCCAGTGACTATTCGTCCCCTAGGACAATTTGTCCCCAGCCAGACAACAGTACTGCTAGTTCCATTATCAAAAACTGAATTAATCTTTACTTTTTTTATCCTAAATCTTAGTTTTGATGCTAGTTTTACTTAATGGTTCCGGAAGTTTTTTCTTAATAATTGATAGAAATAGCATCTGCATGGTTATTGTTCCATTCTGGTGGCTTCATCAAACCATCAGTGGTTAGCTTTTGCCAAACACCTTACAGTTCTATAAAAAGGATCATATGTTTAAATGGTTTCCCACTATAGATGTATTTGATCTGTGATTGAAAATTGAAAGGTTTGGGGTTCAATAGAATGCACACACACCCTCCACCAATTGGCAGAAAATAGTAGTCTTCAGACAGGAAGAGGGGGAACTGCTAATTTCTTCCTTCATTTGACCCGACGCGCAAGTGAATTATTGAAATAAAATTGAACCATGTGTTAGTCCCGAAATGACCTAGTTTGTGTCAAGTGGACTTTAAACCCCCTCTCTCTCTCTCTCTCTCTGTTTACTTATTATATTATGGTCTATAATGTTTTATATATTGTATAATGTATTTGACAGCATTTGCTGTATCAGGCTGATCTCTGTGGCTAGAGAGTTATTTTGAATATATTTTTTCTCTGGTGTCTACTTTGTCTATGAATTAGCTGATGGTTGCTATGGCAAAGCAATTTGCCAAAATGGCTTTATTCCAAATTTCAAGTTGTTATTTCGTAAATTGGTCTAAAATAACACAATATTGTCTAGATTTCAATATTTTAGATGATCTTTTTGTCATTAAATAGTTAGATACAACAGTTGTATACAATAAAAGTACTCTAAGATAGATAAGTTGCTCAAAATTGTTTCTAGACTTACACAGCACATAGCTGAAGAGTTTCCTTTTTAATTCATTTTAGCTCTATTCTTTGGCACCTAAAAGTGGACACAAATGGATCACAACACATATTATAATGTAACATGAATGTACAAGGCCGTAACTAGCTCAGAGCAACGAGGGGGCGGGAAGTGTTCTCAGGGGTGCTGTAATATTGATGGACAATGTATATCTATATTTTTATGGTAGAAATTTTTTCACAGGCGGGCAAGCCCCCCCCCCCCCCCTTAGTTACGGGCCAGTGATGTGAATGTATATGATTTACATTCAATCGTTTCTGTTTTTACTGTAATTTCTCATCAGTTATGTTAGTCAAAATATGCAAAGAGTCAAAATTGAATGGCAGTCTTTGGCATCTGGCTATTCCAGTCTACACAGGTAGTATTCTCTCCTGTGGAATATGTTTAGCCTCATTTATCAAGTTGCTTCACTACAAAATGGCGCTTGGAAGCATTCTGGTACTCAATTTCGTGTGCCAATTTTAAAATTTTCATTTTGTCTTAAATATTAGATAATCAGAAGCCCATTTTTTCACGGTAAGATAACAACATCAATGTTGATTTAAATCGACCAACAAGTTGTGTTTGCAATGTCAAAGACTGTGGATGATATAGAGTTAGAGTTCCTTTAATAGGAAACAAACTTTTTCCCCAATATGTTATGATTGAAAGGTTATCTGTATTTGTTTGATTTTAGTCAGTTTACATATCACATATATTGTAGTAGATAAATATATGTGTAAATGATGTATAAATCAAGGAATGGTAGATGATATATACAGTAAATAATACCAGGTGTAGTAAGATATATTCTAGACAGTAACACCCACTAGAAGACGTATATGTTATTCTATACTAACACTGCCTTTAGCTCTAGCTTCAACCTCTCTTAATACCAACTCAGTTGAATTGGAGAGAAGGTTTAGCTGACCTGATCTCTCACTAACGTCTGTGTATAAATTATCGAAATGTGATGGAATATAGCCGTTCAATTATTGAGGTAGAGTATCTTTAGTAAACTTGGATCTATCTTAGATTCTATTTAATCAAAATGAGTGAAGATGTCTGCTTAAATTGGTACTTAACAAGTGTAGTGTTCCTAATTCCTACTGTTCAGAGAGGATTTAGTTAGTACTCAGATTTTCTAATCAGTATGTTTCCTTGTACAAAAATTTCTGATTAAGATTTGTACAATGTAATTTTATGAAATATTCAAGAATTCTGTTTTGTTAGGGTGAAACCTTAATCAAAAAAAGACCTGATTGTATTGCTAATGTCAAATTATCAGATTGTTTTTATGCCAAAGAGTTATTTTGGATACAGATTTCATGCAAGGTTGTTGATAATAAAACTGTCTATATTGTCTAACTGGTGATAATGTATAGATTTTTAATCAACACAGTTGGCAACATTACTATATACATCCATTGGCAATAGGATTAACTCCAACTCGAATCTGAGACATTTTACCAGCGAATTTTGATTTAAATCAATGAAATTTTCTATGTTTCTCAAATAAAATAAAGTTTATTATGGGTCATGATGAGGAATTTGAGAAAATGTTTACTATAGACTGTCTGTAATGAAATTGTTCCTTGTTTTTTTATCACTAAGAATTACTCGTCGACTGACGTATACTCACACAGTTGATTGATTTCTTGGTTCAAATATTGATGTAATCTATAAATAGATCAATGAATTTATCAGGAATACAGAATAATGAAGTAAGGCCAGTTATATTGCCTGTATGATGCATGTATGCTATTACAGTTTGCTTTTAATACCACATGATATCGTGATTGAAAGAAACTTTTAGATGGGCTCTATTGATTACGTAGTACAAAGTTATTATCCGCTCCATTGGCATGACATTGGAATATCATACAATAAGCAGCAGATGTGCATGTATTAATTATCCAATTTTTAGCAGAGAGATTTGAGTTGGAATATTAATTAATTGGTAGAATATTATACAAAGCGTAGGGACAATGCATCATTACCTAATTTACATTATACATAGTTAATTATTATGAAAGATTTTGGAAGAATTGATAGTAAAAAATGCCTGTAGTATTCAACCTTTCTTCAGTGTGAGTAAAAAGTATAGGGTTAAATTAGTACTGGTAAAACTGGATTGAATCCTGATCATTAGGTACCACAAACTGTATGTACACAAACTATACAGCATTAGATTAACCATTTAGCAAAATAACCATATTCTTAGGACACCATGGGACAGATGTAGTGCTGGCACGATATATTGTTGAATTGAATCGCGATATCCATAGGTACACAAACACTCTTAAATAGTTTTGGTCCATACATGTATTTTGATCAACATCAATGTCGTGATGTAAAACAGTTTTATTTCTTCGACATCGGCAGGACTAAAAATATTAATTATTCATTTATTCTGTTGTTTTCTTGATAAATATTGACCTGGTTATGAATTGTGATTAGAATCGTATCGTAGCACCTGAATCGTATCGTGACTGCAGTGGCAATACTCAGCACTATACAGATGGCAACACAGAGTTTTACCATGGTGAAAGGGGACTAAATGAAAAAGAATCCTATATATAATACATATGCAACAAGATTACTAACAACAGTAATTAAAAATTACTATTAATAATATAGTATTGTAGAGGTTAATGATATATTTTAAACTTAAGAATACATTGAAATTAAAATATTGCATACATGTAAAATTTGTTTCATTTTGGAAGATACGGATTTATTGTTTGATTTAATATATGTGGAAGGGGCACTAATATCTTTTTAGTGGGTAAGGCCTCTAAAGGTCTTAATCTGGCTTGGGTAAATTATGTGTCTACTTCTAGTCTAGAGGTTACATTTACCCTACTTTATTAAATGTATGTTATTCCTGTCATGTAGATAAGATACTGATGTATGTACATTTAACATTATGTCAAGATGCTGTAGGTACTGAGCTGAATTAATCAAGTAATAAGGAACACTAGGTTCAGATAATGGCACCGGTTGGTATCATTAACCTTAATTGTGTTTCTGGAGTAACAGGGTACTGGTAAGAAATACGAAACTAGAAGTGATATGTTTCTATTAAGCCTTGTTTGATATAGTGCCACAGTCAATGGCTAGTAATTCCAAGATGGAGAAATATCTTGTAAGTGATATTGTTAAGATTACAATATATGTTCTTTGAAAATTCTTCAGCTGTATATAGGCATGTAAGTTATTGTTGTACATGTTGCTTAGGGGTAATTGTTCTTCAAGCCTTGTAAGTTACATTGGTATTGTACATTTACACATGAAGCAATTAATTGCTCAGGATCGACCATTCCTTTTCAAATTGAGCTGTGTTGAGGAAAAATATTTGAAGCTGATTGCTAGTTTAGGCCATATGAACGAACTAATGATTATTAATAAATAACTAACACAATAGAATGTACATCATACATTTTAAAATGAATACCTAGATTTTAGTTGACAAGACAACTAGTTGGTACCATTAAAATCTAGTCTCTAACTAATATTTCTATATGTAAGCACAAAAATTACCGAAAAATTGTTGAAATATCATAAAATAAACATGTATGTTAGTGAGGACTGAGATAATCTCTATATTAGCACTAACTTATAGTATTTGGTAGTGCCCATGGATGGGCATGGTGACCCGTGATTTTGCATGAGGAACAAGATCCCATTTGTGCCCCCAAAAAACAATATTTATATGTATGTGCATTATATGCTTGACACTGGTTAAGCATTATGGTTATGATAATGTTGAAACCGCATGTTTTTTTACCATTTGCAAGAGGACACAAAAACTCAAGGTGGGCGCAAAAACTCAAGATCATGACGTAAAGCTTGTCATAGAAGTCCCATGGCATTTTAGTGGATGTTTATTTAATTGGGAGTCATCCATCAGTTCACAAAGATAATTTTTGAGCAGAGAAAACATTTTCAAAGCTCACATAGAATAGTTCACCGT